AATGAAAAACCAGAAGATCTCACGTTTGGGTGTTTCTGCATAAAACAGTCGGCTCAACAATTAACATTTTGTTTGAATATGTTCTAGCGAGGCTCCAACCCTGGTGCGCGGACCCTCTCGAACCGGGCGGCGATTCTAGCGTGCATTGAGTCACACTCATAATATCCTAAAATATCAGCTACCACTCTCTTTTATTCCTCTGTAGAAATTTTTGTATTGTTTACAAGTGTTTTTGGGTGGAATTTTATGTGTCTACGACTCGTAAATCGCTAAGTATGATGAACCCACTGATGTACCGTCACCAGCCGGGTCCCCACTTTCCCGTGCTGCCCTACGTTCATGGGATGATGCCGCCAAGGAGTAGGTTCTTTCCTCACTCTGACCAAATGATAGGAGAGATCAACGATGAAGAGGATTTGGCTAGTGTCTCGCTTCAAATTCAGAAGAAAAGATTCTACGTCGATGTCAAAAAAAACAGGCGGGGGAGGTTTATGAAGATTGCGGAGGTAATTAACCCCTCTCTTAAACTAAATTTATTCAGGTAGGGGTGGACGGGAGAAAATCAAGAATCCTCTTGACGATGCCTGCCGCCGCAGATCTAAGGGATAAGCTAAAGGACCTCATAGATGTCCTCAATGAGACAGAGAAAAAGCAGGAGTCTGAAGAAGGAGTAGGCGAAAATGTTGCTGGAAATGGAGAAAAAAGCACAGAAAATGCAATGGTTGACGGACTAATTAAATCCCACATAGTAAACTATCCGAATCGTCGTTACTATCTGGACCTGAAGAAAAACAGACGTGGAATTTTCCTTCGCCTTGCAATGCTATCGGCGTACGTTCGTATTCAATTAGCAGTTCCAGCTCAAGGAATGCCACAACTGCTTTCTATAATATCTGATCTCTTGGGGAAATGGTGGGATGGTTCTGCCCATGACGATCTCAAAGGTAAATTTTGCTGTTTTTATCACTTTTAAGGGGTTACTTTACCAGCCTCCAAGTCTCTTCGAGTAGACAATAAAATGTTCTACTTCGATTCCCTCACCCACCCACATCGAGTTGGCGTCTTTCTACGCATATCCGAAGTGAAGTCAGATTCTCGGACCGCTATAACTATCCCCGCCCGCTCCCTTACGCGCTTTCGCGATGTGATTAATGAGCTAGCCGAAAACTTGGCTAATGTCAAGGTAAGATTTTTAATTACTTCGCATTACTATAGGTCAAAAAGGAAGACACTGACGAAAAGCCCGAGAGCAAAACTCTGCCAGGCGCAATTGAGAATGGTGACACTCGAACTCATTCAGAGGATGATGACCAATAATTGCTCCCTACTTGCTT